TGTTGTCTAATTTTTTTGAGTGAAATTATTAATAAATGAAATTGTGTGTATAATCTGAGTAAAATGTAAATAATAAATGTGGATAGGTTGAATTTTGGAATTATTTTTTAAATTGGAAGCTGGATGATTTAAAAAGAAAAAAAGTGTCTCCCCGTGCGCGCGCACGGGGAGTTCGTTTCTCCCCGTGCGTACACGGGGAGATCACGCACGGGGAGATCATGTCTCCCAGTGCGCACACGGGGAGAAGGGATCTCCCCGTGTGCGCACGGGAAGAAAGGATCTACACGACCTTTTTTTTTTTATTTCTTATGTTTTTGGCCTAAAATTCTACTGATTTATATTTTACAAAAACTATAATATAAATATAATTTCTCGTATAAAATCACAACAGAAACTCTTTAATTGTTGCTATGCTTTATTACTATTTTCAACTCCATCATTCATTCACGAAAATATACTGCACATTCATGGACCTACTTAATACCAACATACATTCATGGACCTACTTAATACCAACATCCAGGAATCAACAAATTCAAGTGGAAGAAGAAACTCATTTACCTGACAGGCTAAAGCTGTAAGTTTTCTTTAACTTTACTCAAAGTTATAGTAGTAAATGCCGTGCAGCGTGGTTATAAACTGAAGTTTTAATATCTAATACGAAAGAGAAGTTGTACTGGAGAAGAAAGAAACTTGTGAGAAGGATGACAAATAATACTAAAGAAAAATGACAAAACCGGAAGTAGGCAGCAAAAAAAAAAAATGATTTCAACTATCTCGACCAAAACATCGAGCAAATCTTCTCGGAAGATAGGGAACAACGAAAATACAAAACTAAACAAAAACGAAAAAACTGAAATCATGATGCAAAAAAAAAAAAAAAAATGAAATGAAAAAGCAAAAATATAACAACAATGAATACAAATCTACCTTCAAGAAATTGTTTTGCCACTTCACAGTGTGTGATTGCAATTGCATTTGCATTTAGTGAATTTGCATGTTATATATATGAGTAAGTCGGTTGCATATATATATATTTTTTAATTAATTAAGGCGGCAAATTTCACTGCCAAGTCTTGAAAAATTTAGTCAACAATTCTGGCGTGAAAATGAGATATTTATGAACAGTCGGTTGCCTTTTTTTTTTTTTTGTCTCCATAATGCCCTTTTATTTTATACACTGTGGATGAAAATTGTTTCACAGATGAACAGTAATCTGCGGGGTGGATAAAGTGGAGAAAATGGTAATTCGTGGGGGGATAAAATGGGGAGGCAAAATGCTTCACAAATGAACAGTGATCTATGGAAACTGTGGAAAACAAACAATATTTGTTAGCAATTAATAATCATTTTTAATATAGTAGGGACAAAAATCGAGATACGATGAATAGTAACCGACATGTCAAAACTCAAATGAACATTAATCGACATGTCAAAACTAAACCACCTAAAAAAGAAAAGAAAAAGTAACATGCCAATTGATACGTGTGAATAAATTAAATGAAGTGTGCCTCTATTTGGTTAAAATTAGTAGGGACAAAAATCGAGATACGATGAACAGTAACCGACATGTCAAAACTCAAATGAACAGTAACCGACATGTCAAAACTAAACCACCTAAAAAAGAAAAGAAAAAATAAAGGTGAACAATGTGAACAGGAGGGCTAAAAAATGAACAGTGATCTGACATGCACTCTTTTAAGTGGAAAGGGATATAATAGGAATATAAAGGTGATTTGTCTACTGTAGGAAAATCGATTCATATGTGAAAGAGAGGGCACGGTATGAATAGTAAATTTAGCATCCCTTCTTTTAAAGGAAAGGTGACTCTCAATTAAATAGTATTTTTTGTGAATTTTTATGTAATTAGAATAATCAACCCTTTAAATAATTTTAAAAGAAACCGACAAACCGTAAAAGTGAAATGAGAAAATTTACATAACAATTTATTTTTGGAGCATAATAAAATGGGATCGGTTTGATTTGGTTTGGTTTGGTTCTGTTCCAATTCAATTATTATCCTCCATTTTTATTAGTCAAAAATGAGTTTTGGACCCAAGGATTCTTTTAGCAGCTTTAACATTCTTCCGTATACAAACAGAAAAAAAATTCTTGTATTAATTCAGGATTGAAATGGAAGAAAATTCTCGAGTAACGAAACATTTTTTCAAAGTCATGTCGCGTGATTTCCATTCAAATTTGGTAGGTTTTTCTTCTTTGATTTCGCTGAAACAGAGTAATTCGAGTGGTTGCTAATTGATTTGAGCAGGAAGTAATGGAGGTTTTGTAAAAATTCTTTTAGGGTTTATGTGGAATCTCACTTATATTGGGTACTTTTGTACGTTAATCTGTGCCAAAAATTACGAAAATAAAAGCAATTTTTTACTATATATTACGAAATACTTTTGCCTAATTTTTACAAATGTATGAAAATTTCCATATTTTATGATTTACTCGATTATCTCCTTTGCTATTGATATGCATTTTGTATTATATGTATTTTATAAATGGAATTTATATGGTTTAGTAACTATTTTTCCTTTTTCCATTTTATCTATGAGCAGGCCCTGCCAAAAGCTTTTGGTAGAAATCTAAATGAAGTAAAATTGGCCAATATAACGAGTAGCAAGGGAGTCTGGAAAATCAGTGTTTCTAGAAGTAATAGTGACACTGTGTTTTTTGAGGAGGGTTGGGGTGATTTTGTTCGTCAACACGACCTCACTGTTGGAGATATTGTCGTTTTTGAACACATTGGGGAAATGCATTTCAATGCTTTCGTGTTTGATTTTACTGCATGTGAGAAAAAATTTGACGATGATTTAGCCGAAAGAAACGAAGGAACTGCTGGAGTATGCAATAATTTGGAAGCAATTAAGTGTAAGTTTTGTGCTGTGATAAACTGCATATAACCAATAGCAGTAACTTAGCTAGTATATTGCTCTTTTCTTTTTCCATTAGATGCATTAATTCAATATAGGTTTTTAGGAAAAACTGGCTTCTCGAGCAGATTTGGAGAACTGTGTGCAATTGTATGCATTTCTGATGAATACGTAATTTATCTACTAATGTACTAGAATAGAAAGAAATCGCATCGAGGAACAATCCAAGAGTTGACATGAGCTTTACGGTTGACTGAAAGTCTGAAACACCGTGCAAACAGAACATAAAACCATGATAGGGACATTTTCATGTAGAAGTTCGTGAATGAGTAGAACATACATCAAGCCAACTTATTTCCCGGGATTTTAAGAGCTCATTTTATAGCTGCTGTCTTGAGGCCTCCTGGTTTGTTACGGTTGACAGATGAATCTGAATGAGATCTACTCCCACAGGATTAGCCAAATCGACTAAATTTGCGAACTTAGTAACCCGATAGAACGCTTCACCACCAGAAAGGGAAGTTGGTCAGTGTCTAAATTAGTATAGAATTTTGATAAGTGAAATGATTGTTTTGGCTATGAAAAAATGAGAAAAAACTCACCTTTTGCTGTGAGATGTGGGTTGTATTTATAGAACTGTGAGAAGAGAAAAAATTGTAGTTTACAAAGTTATGTATGCCTGATGTGGCACCACATCTACCAAGTCATTCATGAAGCATCTCATCCATAATGTTGCTGATGCGACTCCTCGCCTAGTCACTGTCACCAGTAATATCCCTAAATTTCTAGGAAGGCACGTGAGAATTGTTTGAGCTATGCTTGTTGCAGGTGGTGTAGATGAGTGGTTGAGCTAGGCTAGTCACCCTTGTTATCGTGTTTATGTCCAACCATTAAACAACCTATAGAGTTGGACAAGTCAACCTCTTGGCTCAGCTCATTATAGATGACGTCACCACCTTGGAATGGCCTAGGAGCCACTTGTGAAGTTGGGCTTGTCAACTTCTCGGCTCATTTTCATCATTGGGTGATGTCCTCTCATAGGATCGAACTTGTAATTATGTGTTGTGATTTGATTGGTCTCGTCGACTGAATTTTACTCATGCCAGCAGTAACCTTTCTAATTCATCTACTATTTTGCAATCAATTGAAAAACCAGTTCTGACAAATTTCAAAACTATGCCCCTGTTTATTCCCGCTACAAATTTGGATTAAAATCTAAGTCAGAGTAAACATTTAATTTTAACCACATATTTTATGGGTTCCATAACATTTCAACCACTTATTCCATCAATCCTTATTAAAATCTACTAAAAATCTGATTTTTATCTAAACCAATCGGGGGCTATATTTCTTTCATCTCTAAGGACTAGTTCTTGTGTTTGATAGTTGATAAAGTTCAATCCATGGTAATTACATTGTCTTTTCATTTTCAACGTTTTGCTGATTTTCTAAGTTGTTATTCATTTTGTGTGGAAAAACCACAGCAAATGCAGGTTCTTCATGCCAGCATAGGGATCCATATTTTGTCATAACAATGAAACACCATAACTCTCCTGATTGTAAACAGCCATACATGGTGAGTTTCGTCTCTTATAATTTGATTATCGTGATTGTATGTTCTATATTCTTTTATGTAAAAAGAGGTCGATCTTTGGAATTTTGCAGTTATTTCTTAACTTCATGAATTTCAGCGTATCCCGGTTGAATTTTGGAAATCTAATGGCCTGAATGAGAAGACTAGCATAAATCTAAGAGATCCTTCAAGCAAGAACTGGTTAGTGGAACTAAAATTTTACAAAACTGTTGGTAATGGTCGTGTTACTATGGAAAGGGGCTGGAAACAGTTTTATGAATCCAACAAGCTCAAGAATGGTGATGTTTGCACTTTTGAGCTCAACCACAATCCAAAAGGGTCCCCTGTTGCTTCAATGGCTGTGCACTTTTTCCCAGCTCCTACTCAACTCATCCCTCATATTGAATGCTAAAATTCTGTTAGCTTTTGTACTCCACATCTCTCTCTTTGGTTAGGAAGAATTGAACAATTGCTGGCCGTTTATTTTGATTGAAACATTTGATAAGTGGAGTAATGTTAAAGCTTATTTTATTTCGTTTATGCTGTGTTGTCATTAATCATAATTTCTATTAGAATGATGTTATTTAGTACCATTGGTGTTAGAGCACCAATTTAGGTTACTACACTTTCAATTAAATGAGTCATATGATTTTATATTTAAATGAATTTATCATTTAATGTCACGTAATTGTCACATAAATTGGTGTTTAACACTTGTTGTGATGAATAGTATTATTCTTTCTATTAGGTTATGTCTAACCCACTAAAATATTTGATTGTATTTAGATCAAGTTGAGTTAGAGACTTGACTCAAACCCACTAACATAGTTTCACCAAGTACTTGACAATTTGATAGTTAGCTAGGGTTACAATTGACTTTCACTTAGACCTGTGGTCCACGTTATTTTAAAAATATATTTTCCTCTCTTATTTTCAATCATAGATTCTTCAATAAAATAATATTATATGCAAATTCAAGATTTTTCTTATTTTTAACCATATATTCTCCATCAAAATACTATTCGAAAATGTATTTTGAAAAAAAAGGGGCTCAAACAAACTCTAAATATATTATAATTTGATTTTGCATTATAATTTGCTATTTTCTGAATACTAAAATCTCAAACTCATAAATATTTGAAAGGTTTTTTTTTTTCAATATTTTAATAGATTTTAACTTGAGATAAAGTTTTAAATTGTGTGCAAAGTGTAACTAAGTAAAATTTATTAAAATTACATTAAACGTATATATCACACAGCTATTCAATACTCTCTCTCTTCTAAATAATTTTATCGATGTTACAATAACTAGATTTCGAGGGTGTAATCTAACACATTCACAATACATATTGAATGGCCAAGAAGGTAGACAGCTCATAGTCCTAGAACATAAGGGGTTGTTCTCCTTACCATTTTCAAGTCGTTTTCTATTTTTTATTTTACAAAACAGTGAAAACACGTTCTCTTTCCTATTTTTGAAAACTCGTTTTTGAAAACAAGTTAAAAATTTACAAAGAAAACTCAAAACGACAAATTTGTCGTTTTTGATATTTTCAGTTATAATCAAACCCAAATTTTCAAAACGTGTTTTGGGTGATTTCAAAACGTTAAAAAGAACACATTTTCAATAATCTCAAAATGGACAATAAAAACACAAAACCCAAAATGAATTCAAAACTCAAAACACAAAATGGAAATACAAAGAAAACAGCCCCTAAGGGATTCACTTGCTTTGATCAATAGAGTAATGCAAGAACTGAGAGATGATTCTTCCCGCAAGAATCAAGTTACGAAATCAGTGGAGGCAGTGACTAGATGAACTGTATGCATAATTAGACAGGAGATTACGGTCCTTATCGAGTACATTTTGTGAAAGACAAGGTAAAAAGTGGAGAAATTAGTGTGAAGTTTGTGATTGGGCATCAAAATACTACTAACAAATTCATACATTGGCCTAAATATGCTAGATACAACAATGGATGGATAGAAGAATCTGAACTTAACTGAAAATAATTAAAATATTTATTTATTCAAAGAAGCCAAAGCCCAATCATAAAATTTTAATATTTGTGGAGTGTAATGCGAACCGTCGACCTCCCACATAAATTTTACAATTTTTACTACGACCAACTATCCCAATTTAATTAATTATTTCAAATAATATATATATGATATATATCTATCATCCTGCAATTCTATACAAAATCATCAAATCTGGTGTTTTGGCGTTCATTAACTTTGGGGTAAGGAGTGCCTCAACTTCTAGATGGGAATTCTGGTGGTGGTGGTGGTGGTGGCGGCTGTGGCGGTGGAGGAGGAGGTGGAGGTGGATGGGAGAGAACCAAGGATAATATTTGGGAAGAGAATTGTGGTGGACTTTTTTTCCTTCTCGTTCTTTTTTCTTCTTAATTAGAGTAGGATCATATTTTTGAAATAAATGTGGTCTACATAAAGCAAGTTTTTTTAATTGGGATGTATTTATAAGGTGGTGTGATCCACAAAGTTTCGCAAGTGTACGGTATCTTAGTCAAGTAATAAAGTAATGAATAAAAATTATTCCCTCGAAAACTGTATAATTTATCTAGTTCTAATTAATATTAACTATAATCAAATAGCTAATTTGTGATTTGTTGATTTTATAGTAATTTATCTAAACTAAAGCAATGAGAAACTAATAAGTGTTTGTAAAATCGATTAAACATATGAACTACCACTCCTTTATTATTTTATTTAACACAACTCAAGACCATGACAACACTTATATTATTATTGTTGATTAATGTTCATATTTTATTTAATAATCTCTTTCAAGTAGAATTAAAATATCTTTGTGACATTCCTATATTTCTATGAAGGATGAAAACAAGAAAGAATTCATTACGAACACATATTGAAATCACACACTGTATAACATCATATATCTATCCCCGTACCAAATCATAACAACTGCTGTAATAATGAGACATCACTCGGATCTCAATAATGTGAAAAGATGAAGAAGAAAAGTCACGAATTCTTAAAATTCTTCTAGCCTATTTGATCAATCTCCAATTACACATTCTTCTCCTTTACCCATTGATACTTAAAGGACAAGATTTGGGTAATGTTCCAATTGATTTTCGAAAAGAGTTTTAAGAACAAAAATGAAACAATTCGAAATGGCCAGAAAATTGTACCATACGATTGCACACTTTACTGGGCGACGATCGCACAATTCAGTTTATTTGGGTACCCCTGATATAATTTCACGTGGTGCAATCACATGGTGTAAAGGTTGCTACCGCAATTACTAAACTTTCAATTTCGTGCAATTTGGTCCTTGTATTCCTTTTTTGGATAGACTTGAGTCCTTTTTTGTGCAACTTCATCTTCTAAGTTCATCCGATTTGGTCTATGTAATCGTCATTCTTTCGTTCAGATCAACTTCTTGAAGTATTGTGATTTAGTCCCAGGCTTTATAATTCTTTATTATTTGTCCTTCTTTGGCCAATTTTTGTTTCTTTTTATCAAAAGTCATCCAAAGTCGTCGATATTTAATAAAATTAAGTATTAATTCAATCAAATTGGCTTTCAAATATCTACTTTTGACTGTCCAAATAGGTGTGAAAATTACAACTATCATGGCGACCAAACAAATATAGGGAATTAGTGCAAAATAGTCCCTAATCTATGGAAAATAATTCATCATTTTAGATGGTTCTCATCCAATTGACCGTTATAAGGTCAAACTGTTGATATAAACACTAAAAAGCCTTATTAGTTGAAAAAGATAAATAAATCAAAAATATGAATATAAGATAAAAAGAAAAGTCAACTTATACGGCCAACCAACCCCCATAAGAGCATATCCAATGCAACGATGAATTGTTTACAAAATTATGTGATATAAGCAAAATAGAACTTATTTAAAAATTCTTTTCTTATGCAGGTTGATAGAAACCTCATCAAAATGATGTGACAACAAAAAAATAGACATTTTCTAGAGATATGTTTCGATACAGAAGCATCGTCAAGATATTAACTCGACAAAATTGATATTTCATCTACATATTTAAGCCTCTGTTTGGCCCCCATTTTGGGGTGTTGAAAATTTTTGAAATAGTGATTGATGGGAGAATGTGTGGTAGAAAAGTTTTAGATTTGTGTGTAATATTATTTTATTTGATGAATGTGTGGTTGAAATGAAGAGAGAAAAAAATTAATGTAATGTAATGGGAAAAAATGGGGGCCAAACGGGGGCTTTAGTTTTGTTTGAAAAAAAAATTATAATGAAATTTTATTTGAAGTTAACAAATTCGTAATTACTTTTCATTTATTATCATCTATTTTATTGGATTCACTATTCATTTTCAATATAATTTCTCTGAATTGGAGCGTGTATTTGAACTTTAGCCGCCTTAATTTTTACTCGCTGTTTTTGATAGATTTATTTGCAAAGAGAAAAGTCGGAAGGGTCAAGCCATTTTC